CCCCGGCGGCAGCTTCCGCAGGGAGGGAGCGCGGTACTGACGAGCTGGGAATACGCCTTCTTCCTGGGCAGGGCCCTCCGGGAAGGTAGGTCTCCACTTCCCTCCCCCCACCACCACCTTATTTATTTATTTATTTATCTATTTATTTATCTATGTATTTATTTATCTATCTATTTATTTATTTATTTAGCTTTTTACTGATTAATCCGTCAGCGCCCATTTACGCGCCCCACTTTACACGCAGAGCCGAGGTGTAAAGGCCCGAAGACCTGGCAGGTGCAAGCGGGACGTTTTCTTTTTTCCCCCTGCTTAAGCTTCGGTTGGGTTTTCGCTCGGCTCTGGCTCCCCGGCGGGACAGAGCTGAGCGCGCCTCGACTGCGGTGGTGTCTCGCTGTTCCTTCGTAATTCGGAGCGATCTGGGATTAAGAAACCGAGGCCAAAGCAGTTGGTCGTAAAATAATGCTTGTCTGACCTGTCTTTTTTTTTTTTTTTTTTAACCTGTTAGTCTTTAATTCTGTCAGTGAGTTGCATGGATTGGACTTCTCGGGTAGCAAATGTGATCATAGCCGTTGTAAAGCTACATATTTCTGTTTTCATACAGAGGGGGGAAAGTCAGTTGGGAGTGCTGTTCTTTTTAGCATGGGTTTTGTAAAATCGTCAGTTATAGGTGCATGCATAGGCTGTTGTGTCATGGAGAATTAAGACAGATAGTGTCCAAACTGTACACTGAAATACTTTATTAAAATAAAGTTTAGCTAAATCCAGCTAGTGCTTTTGGTAAAATGTCCAAAGCTGAGTTTTAGAAGTGATCCTGATGCCAGTATTTAATTTATTCATGGATTTTAGTATTTCAACATGAACAGAACAGTTCTGTAAATTGTCTTTATTAGTCTGTGCTTTGATAGATATGCAGTGTTTCTCGTATGTCCTGTGGCGATCATTATTTCCATGTTTCAAAGTTAGTATAAACACATCCTGGAAAAAAAAAAAAACCACAAACCCTCTGCTTGCCCAAATAGAAGTAAATGGATGTGTCTTGGAGCTTCTGCCCTGTATGCGCCTAAGTTTTGCGGTGCATCTTACAGTTAATGTATTCAGTTATCAGTTTGCAGTACCAAAACTTTTTCTGTAAATCAAAGTTAGATAAGAGAATGTTGATAAGTTTTACTTCTTTCTGAACTTACATTAATATTTTAGAATTTGAGATGGGCAATACAGTACTTGTGTAGAATACTGCTTAATACTATGCAACATAACTGGCTACTTTGAAGTGTTAAGTCATATAATCCTGTAGGGTCAATATACGTATCAATTAGCAAAACTATTTAATAAAGATGTCTGAAAGTGGATTGTATAGTGGATTTTATAGCTATTTCTTTCTCAGCCTCTTTTTTTTTTAATTCTCCCTTCATTTTTCTGTGAATTCGGTATTGGTGAGAAATCTAGGGTTTTAGTGCCTGAAATTTGTTTTTTTTTCCTGTGTATTGGACAGTCAGAGTTGAGCCTGTGCGTCTATTTCCTGCTTTGCCCAGATATTTCAACTTTTCTTTTTATTCCATTACATCTAACAATCACTTAAGGTGGTGCATTTACCATAGCCTTCATCACTTTGCTTATCGGACTTGTGACGTTAGTTTTCTGTTATAAATAACTACCTGCTAGAAATTGGTCAGGTACAGTTATTTTCCGTAAGTTTCCTCCAGACTCATCAGATAACGGTAATAAAACTACTGACCTCCACAGAGATGATGTTCACCTGAGCAATCTGTGGGCTTTTTCATTTGTATTGTGAAAAGCACCACTCATTAGTAAAATACAAAGAATATAAAACAATTTCACTACTAACGC